CTTAATTCATTCTGGAGGTCCGTTCTTAACCTGAAACTGTTCTTAACCTGAGGTACCACCTTAGCTAATGGGGCCTCCCGCAGCCACCGCACAATTTCTGTTCTCATACTGAAGCAAAGTTCCTAACCCAAGGTACTATTTCTGGGTTAGCGGAGTCTGTAACCTGAAGCGTCTGTAACCCGAGGTACCACTGTATCCTAAAACTTCATTCGGTCTACCTTTGGTTCTCCACACACACTAGCCAAGTAGTGCTAATGCAATAGTTTGGCTTCATTTCCAGAGGTACATTCCATTGTCTCTCAAGACAGAGGGATGCCAAAAACAACACTATACCCACAGAAATACCTTGGAGGGGGTGAAAGGTGCAGGAGGAGAAGTTTGAGGGGTGTGTGCATGTGCCAGAGGAGCAACCAGAACCTACAAAATTGGGTGAAGTTAAATCCTCATGACACTTGCCTCTTGGAGACCAGCCCTATATTGGGTGAAGCCCTTAAGCAAGTTCCAGCAGCAAGGGACACCCTGGGTCCCTTGAGTTTTGAGGACAAGAGCCACTGGGAGAGTTACCTGCCTTTGTTTGGGCCCATGATGTGTATGAGAGATATTGAGAGTGAGCAGACTGGAACAACCTTACAATATATGTATATCTTCTGTAGAAGGGGCGGGGGAGGAAATGGGCTGTTCCAAAACAACAAAACTACAGCTACAACCAATTTAATGCTTCTATTTCACCGGCATGCTCTGTAGGAAGTGAGAATGGCTTTGGATGAATATATCACCTGTAGAAAATGGCCTTTCATCACACACTTTTCCCAGCTCAATAAAGCCCTTCAGTCAATACAATCAGCATTCTCAGCTCTTCCTTTTTGTGAGAGCCACACATGTGGTTGGCTTTCCTTGTTCCTCAGCACTCTTTTACCATCAGCATGATACAATTAATCTAGTTGTGCAAAGAAGTTCAGAATGCTGAATATTCCTTAAAGGGTATGTCACAAATAGAGGACAATATGAAAGAAAGGGAAAATAATACTTACTTTCCTAATGGAGAAAACATTAAAAAGCCTGTTACAATGAGACAGCACCGGATAGCATTCTGAAAGTCAATTATATATATTCTTTTAAAATGCAGTTTTGAAATGTAAAGGATACAAAGCAGCAGCATGACTCCTCACTCTGGAACTGAGAAATTGAGGGTAGCGACCTCCAGAAGGTGGAATGCCGTGATGTTGAACACTGCTTTGAAACCCATATCTACTTTGTGGGGGGGGGGTTCACTTGGGATGCAAATATTCTGAAAGAATATTTCTTTCTAGCTAGCTGTTCCTCGGTCTCTAACCACTTTTATCCTTGCAGAGACTAGAAAGCCAGTCATGAACCTGTTTGAAGTTCTATCAGACTTATGATAAAATGCAGGACTGTAGAACACAGTCCTTATGGAAGTCCTTTTTGCTTGCTCTTTATCAAATGTCTTAGGAAGTCAACTAGAGATTGTCAATCAGCATCCTCCTGACCTTCCCTGTGGATCATCTTGGAATCCATTCCTTTGTTTTGAGCTTTCTCAGATGATGTCTATCCAAGTCAAGATGGGGAGCCAATTTACCACACACACCTCTTTCTGAGAAACTTCAAGTGGTCCAGCATCAATAGGTTTTACGTCACACTACTGGATGTTATGACTGAGTTGCCCTAAATTGAAGTGGTAGCATTTAAATGCATGTTTTCAATTTGTTAGTTAGCTTTTATAGTAGGGCTGTTTCCCATACAGTTTGTTACCAATGGTCCATATTTACTCCTTACACGTCTATCCAGATAAGACTCTATGAACTGAAAACAGAGGTGTTATATGTACCTTTGTTATCCATGAAGATCTTTCAATAAAAACAATTAACTATGTTTTCATGTATTTGGATAGTATTGATTTCAAGAGAGCAGCCTGAGTACAAAAGCTGAAGAGGGAGTTGGTAAACCTTGTTGTCACTGACTTCATAGGAAAACAAGACAAAACAACAAAAAACCCACAGCCCTCCAGCATTAATGGTAAGTGTCTGAGTCTCCACAAAAGGAAACTGGATTGAGAAAACATGGGCTTAAAAAGACCTTCAGAATTCTCAGTCTGTCCATGGTTTGTATATAGGCCTTCAGAAACTTCCATGTAATTTCTGTTCTTCGGTTTTCTTATGAATGCCATAAAATGGGGATAGTACATACCACTCATGGGAATGATAAGAATAGGTTTGTCAGCCCTTGTAGAGTGTCCGGAAAGTGTATGGCATTGAATAAGTGCTGAGTACTTTTTATATAGCTGGAATTCACTATATATTTGAGACCAATTTTAGCATTCAATAATTCAGAGGGCCTCTTGGGTTTTGTGTAGTTGACTTGTTTATGATACGTGGAACTTTCATGTCCAGGGATAGGAGTGGACTGGAAAGAGGGTTGTTTGAAGGTTAAGGAAATAAATGTGTGTTCTTGCTTCTATTGTTTGGTGAGGGAGCAGTTCACCATAGAACTGCAAAATTAGGAAGGCTACTACTCCACTGAATTGAGATAGGGATGGGAGAGATTGAGAGCAGTCATCTATACATAAACACCCCTATCAAAAATTAGGAAATGCTTTTCAGCATCCATAGAGCATGCAAGAGATTGAGTAAAATGCATACATGTGACTTTGACAAGTTACATTCCTATTTTTGTTTTTCATGTAGAGACTGTTCCACTAATGGAAGGACTCCAACCTACACAACATGACTTCCTTTTAGAGGTGTACAAAGGGGGGTGCAGTGGGGGGGGGTGGAGGGAAGGAGAAAAGCAAACACTCCCTCAACTCAGGACCACTGGAACACACAGGAGGAGAGGTGGGGTGTGAGAACAAAGTTAGGGAAACAAAGTTTTAAGTGCTTATGCTCACAATGTTAAGTAAATAAACCAGAAAATAACACTTGCAACTATTAAGTATCTTGTTTTTCCTTCATTTAATAATTTCAACATGGGTGTGTGGGGGTGACAAAAAAAAAATTCTGCACCGGGTACCACCTGACCTTGCCACACCTCTGCTTCCTCTCCCTATCCTCTCTCCATGTCTCATCTGCTTTGGGTTTACTTCTAACCTTCTGAAGCAAGAGAGGAGGGTGGGGACCTTGTAGTTTTTTTGGGTGGGTGCACAGGAAGAAAGGAGAAGAAATGTTGTTGCACAAGCATAAGTCCTTGTGCCAGCCGGGTGAGTTGATTAGATACAGCTCCTGTCCCAAACTTTAACAGAGTAAGTTGGCAGACTCTCAGAACACAAGGTGATTTTTGGAACACTATTTATTTAACTGTGCAAACCTAAGACTAGACAGGGGGCACCTGAAGGCAGTTTAACATCCAGGTTCTTGCCAAAAGGAAAGAAGCGTTGTCCATTTCATCTCCTCACTCACCTTTAAATAATTCCCCTCTCATTGGGAGGAAAATAACTGAGGGAGATTTAGAACAGTTCCCAGATGAAAAGAGTTGTAGTCCAAAATTTCTGGAGGACTCCAGGCTGAGGCAGGCTGCAACAGTTCATCCAATATCCCTTGAGATATCTCCCCCCTTTGATTGATTGCCATATTTTGAAAAACGAAAAAGAGGACACATTTGCTGTCTTCTGCTTTTAACCGTGGATCACTGCAATGACTCTACCCATGAAAAAGAGGACGTGTCGGGGGCCACCAGGGGCTCATTGGAAGATGGCCGACAATACCATCTCTCCGGCTCACACGGGGTAATTAAGAGGCTGATATGGGAGTATGCAGCCTCTCTTGTTACCCCAGGGAATGGGGAAACACTGCCTTGCCTGCTGTTGCCATAAATCACCCCCGAGTTCGACAGAAAGGGGTGAAGGCACTAGGCACATAGCCCCCGTGGGGGCCGGCTCTCCCGGACGCTGTATCTGATCGCGCGAACTGGCTTCAGGAGCTCAAAATAAACAATTAGAGAGAAGCAAATGCACATATTTCAAGTGAAGAACGGGAGTGAAGATGCTAATTGAAGTGACCTCTGTGAAGTAGAGCGACGGGTTGGATTTAACAGGAATATATCATGAAGAAGATACATCAAAGGGTCGGTATGTCTGAACGGGACTGGATGGGGGGGACTTTTTTTTTCTTTTCTTTTATGTGATTACCCAATAACCCCTCCCCAAGAAAGAACCGTCGCATAACTGACCTAAACTGACAGTAAGAGCTGTTCGACAGTGGAATTTGCTGCCAAGGAGTGTGGTGGAGTCTCCTTCTTTGGAGGTCTTTAAGCAGAGGCTTGACAACCATATGTCAGGAGTGCTCTGATGGTGTTTCCTGCTTGGCAGGGGGTTGGACTCGATGGCCCTTGTGGTCTCTTCCAACTCTATGATTCTATGATTAAAAACTGTGTGGAAATGAATTATTAACCAAAAGTTTGGCTTATGGAGATCTGGAAAAGAACAAGGGCTTTTGGAATGACGCAGCAATAAAAAGAGAGTCGCCATGTTGGCAGGTTTTGTCGAAAGATTGATGATCGAGGAGGAGGAAGCTATGGATTTGTTTTCATATTGGATTCCTGGCAGAACCTCCTCAGAAGACTGAGAAGGGAGTGCTAGACCTGTGAAGATTAATGAGTAAACAGTAAGAGTGTTTTTCTTCATGGAAGCGATGAAAAGCAGCAGCCGTCTGAATATGACTCTTGGATGAATGGAAAAACCCACACAGGATTCTAATTTGTTTCAACTCGCTTGCGGAGACTATCAGAGGTCACAAAGAGAAAGGAAAAATATATGAAAATAACAAGAAGAGATGTGGAAAACAACAAGAAAGGATTGGATAGAATTGTGAACATCATTTAGACAGATTTGTGGACATTGAAGCAGCAGCAACAAGATGATTGGATCCCTTTCGGAGCTTGAAATATGGGTACCCCCAACAAAAATTTAAAATTTGGCTTTGTAATTTGGAATTAATGTGATTTGATTTGATTGGTCTGTTAATAAAAAATATTTTTAAAAAAGAAAAGAAAAAGAGGACGTGTCCTGGAAAAAAAGGACACATGGTTCGACATGCTTTTCAGCTGCTGTTGGTTCCTTGTTTGTTGTTGTTTAGTCGTTTAGTCGTGTCCGACTCTTCGTGACCCCATGGACCAGAGCACGCCAGGCACTTCTGTCCTTCACTGCCTCTCGCAGTTTGATCAAACTCATGCTGGTAGCTTCAAGAACACCATCCAACCATCTCATTCTCCGTCGTCCCCTTCTCCTTGTGCCCTCCATCTTTCCCAACATCAGGGTCTTTTCCAGGGAGTCTTCTCTTCTCATGAGGTGGCCAAAGTATTGGAGCCTCAGCTTCAGGATCTGTCCTTCCAGTGAGCACTCAGGGCTGATTTCCTTCAGAATGGAGAGGTTTGATCTTCTTGCAGTCCATGGGACTCTCAAGAGTCTCCTCCAGCACCATAATTCAAAAGCATCAATTCTTCGGCGATCAGCCTTCTTTATGGTCCAGCTCTCACTTCCATACATCACTACTGGGAAAACCATGGCTTTTACTATACGGACCTTTGTTGGCAAGGTGATGTGTCTGCTTTTAAGATGTTGTCTAGGTTTGCCATCGCCTTTCTCCCAAGGAGCAGGCGTCTTTTAATTTCGTGACTGCTGTCACCATCTGCAGTGATCATGGAGCCCAAGAAAGTAAAATCTCTCACTGCCTCCATTTCTTCCCCTTCTATTTGCCAGGAGGTGATGGGCCCAGTGGCCATGATCTTCGTTTTTTCATGTTGAGCTTCAGACCATATTTTGCGCTCTCCTCTTTCACCCTCATTAAAAGGTTCTTTAATTCCTCTTCACTTTCTGCCATCAAGGTTGTGTCATCTGCATATCTGAGGTTGTTGATATTTCTTCCAGCAATCTTAATTCCGGCTTGGGATTCATCCAGCCCAGCCTTTCGCATGATGAATTCTGCATATAAGTTAAATAAGCAGGGAGACAATATACAGCCTTGCCGTACTCCTTTCCCAATTTTGAACCAATCAGTTGTTCCATATCCAGTTCTAACTGTAGCTTCTTGTCCCACGCAGATATTTCTCAGGAGACAGATGAGGTGATGAGGCACTCCCATTTCTTTAAGAACTTGCCATAGTTTGCTGTGGTCGACACAGTCAAAGGCTTTTGCATAGTCAATGAAGCAGAAATAGATGTCTTTCTGGAACTCTCTAGCTTTCTCCATAATCCAGCGCATGTTTGCAATTTGGTCTCTGGTTCCTCTGCCTCTTCTAAATCCAGCTTGCACTTCTGGGAGTTCTCGGTCCACATACTGCTTGAGCCTTCCTTGTAGAATTTTAAGCATAACCTTGCTAGCATGTGAAATGAGTGAAATTGTGCGGTAGTTGGAGCATTCTTTGGCACTGCCTTTCTTTGGGATTGGGATGTAGACTGATCTTCTCCAATCCTCTGGCCACTGCTGAGTTTTCCAAACTTGCTGGCATATTGAGTGTAGCACCTTAACAGCATCATCTTTTAAAATTTTAAACAGTTCAGCTGGAATACCATCACTTCATGGATCACTGCCTTGCCGTGGCGAAGGGGCTTGAAGAACTCAGAGAAGCTATGAACTATGCCGAGCAGGGCACCCAAGATGAACAGGTCATAGTGGAGAGTTTTGACCAAACGTGATCCACCTGGAGTAGGAACCGGCAAGCCACTCCAGTATCCCTGCCAAGAAAACTCCATGGTTCCTTGTTTAGTAAAGAAAAAAAAGTGTCATGGATTATGCTATTGCTAAACATGAATTTCTTCACGTTGCCATTTTGTGATAATATGTCTTTGATTTCTTTTGAATGATAGTCCAAAATAGCCTACCAATTCATTCATTCAACTTCTATCCCCCACTTTTTATAATTAAATTTGTATCCCACCCTTCATCCAAAGATCACAGGATGGTTCATCACATGAAAACACAAAAAAACCTTTCAAATTAATGGTGCCAGCAAAACAGAAATTTTAGTCACAGAGCAGATAGGTAATTCACCTCCTCTTCCCAGTCTTCTCCCTCTTCTCCCTCTGTCCACTCATCATTGATCATTGTCCCACCACCGCTCCCCAGGCTCTGAGCCTTCTTCCATTGGTGGTTCCCTAGCCGGTTCCTCCCACCACTCCTTTGTGTCTGATCAGTCCATGACATTGGCAGACCAGTGAGAGCTGGTAATACACCTTCTGGATAGATCAGGGAGTACCTGTCCTTTGGGGCAGTGTATTATATACAGCTCCCTTACTCAATTCCTGAATCCTAAAATCCCCATTCCACAGTACCTCCATTTTGTTGGGATTTGGTCTTACTATATTTAGCCCTCAACCAGACCTTTCCTGCCTCCAGGCAATGGTCCAACTTCTTCAGACCCTCACCTGATTCAGATGATAGTCATTCACATATTGATGATAAATTGTTCTGTTCAACAGGGATGTGGTTAAATTGGAGAACATAATAGTAGGATAAGGCTACACCCCCCCCCCCAATGTAGCTAGTCTTTTCAAGTTAGGAGTAAGGAGAATGAGTTTCATGCTGCAAGTAATTATCCCTATACGTGCCCTTCATGGGTCAATGCTAGGGAGACATTCCTAAAGGATAGTGTTTAACAAATATTTTAATTACCGCTCTGCATATCATTCATGGGTCAGTGGTGAAGAAAGGCTCCTTGGGAATCTGCCTGACACACAGAGAACATTCGCAAAATGACATGATGTACAAAGTTGGAGCCAAACTTCTAAAATTAATAAATGTGCCTGAAAGTTCATATCATGCTAGGGTCCAATCACATCATTCATCTCAGTGACATAACAATCACAATGAAGTCAGAGGGAAGCTTTCTCTGACCTTTTAATGTTTATTCTGTCAATTTGAAAGGTGCACTTATGATAGAAGGTGGTGCTGATTGCTACTCTGCAGGCCCAGAAAGTGTGAAAGTTGCACCATCTTTGCAAATCCAGTAATAGTTATGGAAAAAAGCCCACTTGGGCATAATTTGAACAGATAAAGGAAGAGTTATAGAGAGGGACTCCATGTATCCATAGCAGCAAGGGTTCTAACTCAGCAGCAGACCACATTTACTGTGTGTATTAAGTCCTGAGGTCAGTTCCTGCCGTCTCCACTTAAAAAAGATCTCGGGTTGTACGTTTTGGGAAACCATAAACCTCTGCCTGAGATCCTTCAGTGCTGCTATCAATCAGATGGGCCCTTGACCACCATGGTGGTGATTGTTGGTCAAGCAACCCCAGGGTGGTCAAGGGGTTGGGGTAGTTTGGCCAGGCAATTGAAAGTGAGTTACTATTGGCTGTTTAGATGGGATTGCAAGGGTCATGGACCTCCTGAAACTAGAATGAGAGGCAGAAAACTGAAGCTAGTTCCATCTCAAATTAGGGGTTTAGATTCATAGACAGCTTCTGAGCTCCGATGACCCCTAACATCACTTGACAGTGCACCCATGCCGTTCCAGGTCTTAGAGACATAGAGACTTATCTGCTGTCCTCCTCACTGGTCTTACTGCATCTTATATGAATCCTACTGCACCTGGCCTTCAAACAAGCTTCCTGAAGACATCATCTTGCCATGCAGAGGGCTAACCTATAAAGAGGGAATAGCAGGAACAGACAGTGGGAAGGAGCAAAACCTCCCAGCAGTGGTATTGTTCTCCCTTACTGGGAGAGGTAAAAAAGGTTTACACTGTGTAGGTACACCAGTGGAATGGCTCCACCAGTATGCCAGCACAGTGTTGACTTCACACACAACCAGCCACCTTCTACCCTCAGATAAGTGACACTAGCATCACTTCTGGAAGGTCAGGTGTCTGGCCCTGCCACTTTCTGCTGACCGCTGCCAGCCCAGCCCCTTAGACTGCACATCACCTGGCTCCATCCCTTCACCTCCATGCATAAGACAAATGTCTCATACCAGCTGGTCTCCTGCTGGCTCTTCCATGAGATTCAAAGCCCTAAATATCTGAAGCTCCCAGTTGCATGCAGGAAACAAAAGAACTACAGTCACCTCTCACTGGTATCTCCCAAAATGGCTGGGAACAACCCCTTTCTGAAGCCCATTCAGTGGACCCATTCAGATGTCTTTAAGTGCTGATTTCTCCTATACACATTTTGTATGCAACTTTGCATAATATAAACATTTGTGCAAGGCATATTCCTCATAATATTTACTTTTTTCCTAGTATAATACACTTTTGCCTGTTATTTTCATTAATAAATGCATTGTTGTTACTGTTGTTTTTGCAACCTTGCCTTGTATTTGAATGATTGTACACATTACTTGGCTGGCAAACTGCATTGCAAAATTCAGAAAAGTACTGATTTGGAAGGGTGACTGTGTTGTCCAGATGGCACATTTCAAGACAGTGGAAATTTGATAGGTTTCCCTTTAAATGTGAACTGAACTGAATTTCTCCCCGCTCCCTAATTAAAAGTCCCATCAGCCCCAGCCATCCCAAGTTGAGTGGGAATTAGAGTCCAGAATATCTGGAGAGCACCAGGTTGGGGAAGCCTGCTGGAAGATGATACATTATGCATTTTCTCAACAAATCCCTTTGTTAAATAATGTAGCGTTTGATGAATGTCAGAAAAAAAGAGGTCAAGATGGATTTTTACTGTTAGTTCACAGTTAAAAAGAAGCACAGCTGACAATATGAGAAGGCTTCGCTGGCTTGTCAAATGTATTTATATCTTACATTCTTGATTGCAGACAAACGGCTTTAGTGTGCCAGTAATATTATTGTTACAACAATCCCTGACAGCTTCAAAAGCTTATTTCTGAATAATAAATAATTTTACATACCATGCCTCTTAAGATTCCGTTTGTGGCTTTAAGCTGTAAAAATGGCTTCAGAATTTAATAAATAGGCACATTACACAAAACTGCTTATGGTTTGGCACATAGCACCCATCGCAAGTGTCAGCAATCAGCAAAACTTGCAATTACATGTAACAGTTCTGACTCGTTGTGACAGTGATATTAAGGAGAAGCTAACCAAAGTGGAGAGGAAACTTGACTTTTGCTTCCTCCCGCCCCTGTTAGGAATAATGCAGGAAATAAGAGGCTTCTCAAAAGGCTTAGAGCTAGCAAACCTGATATTATTGGGATTTTAAAATGCACAAAACATACAATTTTTAATATGTGGACACATACGCTACCCTCCTTCTGCCATAATGCTAAAGCCAGTGGCGCAGTTTCCTCCTCCTAATGTGCTCCCCCTTCTCTGTTTCTCTTCCAGTATGGTAACGAGGAAGAGTTT